CACTGCAAAGCATACAAACAGAGAATTGGGATAACTTGACTGAACACATAGTTTTCACCCTAAATAAAGTTTTAAAGAAAATAAATTACCGTGTGTCGCAAAAAACACTGGACACTGTCAGTTTGATTTCATGTAACGTGAAAGCTATATAAGCTATCGTAATTCGCAATGCAATAAAGATTATTGCACTCAGAAAGGACTATAACCTGAGATTTTGGTTCGTAGCACTTGAATTTACATGCGATATTGAGAGAGATACAACCAAAATAAACTATTTATTATTTAACAAGTATAACTACATCGGTAATTATAGGGTTGTTTTATGCTAATTTTTTGCATTTTCAAAAACAGTATAGTTCAACGTTCAATAGCGCAGTCGATATTGCATGTAAATTCAAGTGTTATGATATCAAAATTTAAGTTAGTCCTTTCTGAATGCAATGATCTTTATTCTAATTTATGATCTGCATGATGCGCGTATGTGGGCATAATACCGGGTGGCGCAAAAAAAAGTTCACGCGTTTGATTTAATACAGCGAAAAAACTATAAGTGTTACGTTCCTCAAATAAATGTTATCCTATCCAGGAATGCCTAACTTAAATTTTGATGTATAACACATGCATTTTTGTTTAGTATTACCCAAGATATTGGTAAATCAATTTGAATATGCAATTTCAAAAGGTTCCAAAATTAGCTGAAAATAGCCTATTAAATACGAGTAAAGGAATTAACGATATATGAAGAACACAACGGCAGTAAATAACGCGTTTATCATGGAAAATTAAATAACTATATTCTTGCACGTGTGACCATACTATCGAACGAATTAACGTTGGATTTATTTGCTGGTCAAAGTTATGGCAATCAGCAATAATCGCTTCACGAAGCTGTCTCAAATTGTTCGGTTGTTGCTCAAATTGTTCGGTTGTTGATCTAATTTAATTCCCTGTAGCTATGGGACATGGAATACTGCGAAGCAATTCTTAATTAAAAGAGCCATCTTTTTCGAAATTTTGTTGCTTTTCAAATGATAATAAAACAAATAAATAAATGAGGAAAATCATTCGTTACACGTTTCAATTCAAATTAAATTCATACAAGCGAATATGTCTGACGAAATTCTAAAATTTATCAAAACAGTTTAATAGGCCATTTTTAGCCAATTTGTCAGATTTTCAAAACTTCGTTCCAAATTTTATTTGGCGATATCCCAGTCAATATTGCACGTAAATAAACATGCTATAGATCAAAATTTAAGTTAGACTTTTATGAATACAGCTACGTTTATTTCAGCGATGTAACACTTATAGTTTTTTCGCTGTACTAAATCAAACGCGTGAACTTTTTTTTGCGCCACCCGGTATAATTTCAACTGAAGTGATCAAAATGTACAGAAATGATCGATCACCCACATTCGGCTTCACTTTGCTAACTATATATAAGTAATATAACTAAGTAATTATTACTTTTGATATACTTCAATATATTGAGCTGACAATTCAATATTCATGCATGCTTTTTCTTCAGTATACATATGCGCGTATATACCAGGCGTCCCCAAAAAAACTGGACACTGTTTGATTTCATGTTATGTAAAAGCTATAAACGTTATCGCAATGAAATAAAAATTGTTGCATTCAAAAAGGACTATAACTTAGATTTTGATGTATATACTTGAATTTACATGCAATATATTGACTGCGCTATTGGTGTTTGAACGTTCAACAATACTGTTTTTGAAAATGCCAAAAATTAGCATAAAATTACCGATGTATATATATATATATATCAAAATCTAAGTTAGTCCTTTCTGAATGCAATGATCTTTATTTCGTTATACATGAAATCATAAACCTGGTATAAAAATCCCAGGGCCGATTGCCTATATACAGGGTGTATCATAAAAAACGGAGTCCTCGCTTCAAATATAAATTTCGAAACGAATATTAGAGTAAAACGTTCAGGTTTACATTTGTTTTAAAGCGTAGACATTCAGCTTTCCAACGATGGGTTGTTTCGTAAATTTAATCCAGTTGTTCGTGAATAATAGTATTTTAAGTGATTGCGATTGGAGAGTCAAAAATTTGAGATGCAATAACAAATCGGTACTTGATGAAAATAACTTATTTTGTCAACAAAACGAGCAAATTGAGGCATTTTGGCAATAGCTTGTAAAACTAAGTAATAAAGGCTTCCAATACACTATTTTAAATTCACTTGCTGACTTCAAATGCGTTTATATTCCCAGCTGAAGCGTGTTTTAGCTTGCCGTCAACTTGCTAATTTATGTTTACATTGCGCCCGATTCGATGGCGTTAGTTCGGACGAAGCATGGACATAAGATTGTTTTGATGATTTCTGGAAATAATTTAGGATTTTGAAATAAATAAAACAACCTAATCTCTTTTAGAATGTTTTTAACAAGTTTTTACTAGTTTTTCTGATGTGGCAACAAGAACATTAAAGTTTGAACAAGAAAATTCAAATATTGTAACCGACTATGGAATATCATATAGTAAATTTGTACAATTAAACGGCATCCAAAAATTATAGGTTTTACTAAATTTTCTCCTGTGCAGTTATTACTTGCACTAAAGACACGGATGACCATTTGTTCGAAAGATAAATGAGCAGGCCTTAAAATAAGCCTAAAACCGTTTTATTAAATGTAGCAGGCCGATAGTTATTAAGTACAAAAGATGGACTCCGTTTTTTTTATACACCCTGTATAGTTGCATTTTTCGTAGCAGCTCCTGGTTAGATCTAAAAAAACTTGAAATTTCCATCTACAAAATCCTGGGCCTGGCTCATCTGAATTTAATCAAATATTTTTTTCAGATGTGCGTCTTCAGATTGCTATATTAGTCTAATAAATATTGTCAATTTATCAAAGCTATTAAGAGTTTACAATAAGCCAGCTTTTACATTAATATATTCATTTGAAACAGTGTTGGATCCATAAGTGATTTGAATTCTTTTTAACATTTTAATTTTTGTCTGAACTTTTAACGTATCTTTTCATAAAAAGTTTGCAGTCTTTTGCTTGAAATATTCATGAACGAGATTGAAGGATGTAGGCTAACTATATTGTCATTCATAATAAAAACTTTATTTTGAATTTAATCAAATAGATATTGAATTGAGGATCCTCAGAGCGATTTTATCACATTTATCGTATTAATTATATGATAATATATGCGTACCATTAATGTTAATTTCAGTTTTATCTACGCACTATATAGCGAGTGATATATATTGTTTTGTCGGCCAGTTCTGCCAGGAAATGAGTTATTTAATATTATCTAAAGCATTGCATATCTGCCCCACACATGCAATTCGGGGGG